ACTGTTGCACTCTTGCTACGGTTATTAAAGTCATAGCAGTCTTGCTACAGTTCTATTAGAACCGTAAGGCTCTCTGGAAATCTAGAGAGCATTATAGCCCTACTAGGTCCATAGGGGGCTATTTTGGGTATATAAAGGATAAAGGACTTCAGGAAATTATGCATGTAAAAATAAAAATGATTGGTACTTTTTTATCTCGAAAATTATAAGGGATATTAGCCATAATTTCCCAAATAGATATTGTAGCACATGTAATACAGAAATATGTGCATCCGCAACATTGATACTTATGTTTAAAATACCATAATACACAATATTAAATTAAATTTCTGTAGTTAATGCCATTACTTACAAAAATCCCAGCAGTAATTGGTATTCATACTGATGGTGAAACATATTAAACAGTACGTTAAGCATATATAAGCATCCATGTATCATAGTGTAATTGTTGGCAAGATATTTATATCTTGGTTGTTATAAAGTCGGAAGGTCCGTCTAGCCATTTGCTAAGTCACTTGTATATAAGCCGCCATAAAAGGTCCCTTTTTCATCCCCAGAAGTCATGCATTCACTTGGATGACCTCGCTTCATGCGCACTGGCCGGAGTGGCAGTCCCCACATTGGCAATGATAGGAATGATGGATGATTAGTGTACAATGAGAAAAATAGTGATGAATATATCAGAAGTATAAATTATACATAACATTCATCTCGATGTGACAAGGTCTGACAGATTTTCTGGAGAATAAGAAGGTAATGATGTGAATTCCACAGGACTTTTAACAATTTCTATTTCTGAATACAGAATATGAAACCTGGAGCAAATTAGCACGCAGTTAGCACTTAGCAGTAAGCCTCGGTCATGGGCAGATCTATGTGCAAACATGTTTCAGAGAGATGGAGGGAGAAGAGAGGGTGTGATAAAATAAATGCCAACGAATAAGATTACTGGAAAATGAGTAAATAACACCTGGTCCAATGCTTTGAATCTTTTGAGTTACAAGTGCTCATGCCAGAATCAATTGCAGAATTTGTTTCAACAGCAGTATTCTCCCTCTTTGTCCAAACTAGATTTCAAAAATCTCTCAGTTCTGGCAAGAATCTGGTTCATTTGATTAGAAATAAATAGTTGATGTTGAGGAGCATTATAATAGAATTAAGGCTAATACAATTTCATGGGCTAGTGCAAGGAAAGATTTTCGGGGTTTTTTGGTGACTGATTTGAAGAATCAAGCGAAAGCAGTCACAAGGGGCATTTTGCCTTAAACTGAAAGACATGTCAGTTAGGACCACCAACTGAGGTACGTTTGAAGCTGAATACTGATGACACTCAATGAGGAATCTGGCGCTGCCAGGACTGGTGGAATCAGAAGATACCAATGGGGACAAATAGTTAACAACCTACTTGGGTACACTGCAGAATTGCAACTCCAATGAGGGTGAAGCATGGATCTTATTGTTTAGGTTGCTCTCTAGAGTCTTAATGGAAGAACATAGTCAATGAAGGGGATTTGGCTTTTGTGGAGTAGCAGAGATCGAATTATCCTTAGCAGTAGCTAACATCTTATAAGATATTTGTTCTTTGATCAGTAACCTTAGGACCTTCCATAATTCGTGGAGAGAGTCAACGAGGCAGTAGATCTTTCAGAGAGGGAAGGAGTGCCTAGAGCATCTCTTGTAGTTACACACTTGAATTTGTATCTCAAAGAGACGTACTAAAATTTTTACCGAAATTATATTGGTGTATCCTTTTCTTTATCTCTTCAATAGAGTAATGCTAACAAGAAAGAAGAACACAATAGCATCTAAAGAGTAGTACGATGAGTACTTATTACCACGCATTAGCACTCACCAAACCCTTCTTTGTCCTTCTTCATATATTTCATCAAAAACTTATCTGTATGCAGATTCTCATTGCTGAAGTAATACTCCACCTGGACAAAAATCAATTTTTATTGATCATATGCACAGAAAGAAAAATCTCACAACATGCCAAAATTGAAATCTCCCTGAAGAACTGTGATTTAAAACAATGGCTACAAAATTGATTAAATAAAAAAGTTAAATAGTTGACAAAAAGTAAATGTAATGTGTAAAATATGCCATTAAAAGAAACTAATTTAATCACATATAAATAATACATGGAACAACACACATTTATCAAAATAAATAAATAAACCAACAATGCCAAAGCACATCCTCCACAATGGGCTACGCGGCTACACCCTTTCAAATAAAGAAAGACTACAACACCTGAAAACCGAGTCACTCCATCATCTTACCGAACCATAAGGCTTGAAAGTAAAATGAGAGAATGAATCTTATCTGGAAAATGAAATCATATATTGTTTTTTTTCCTATTGAAAATCATTCATGAGCCCTGATATGAAGGGAAGGAATGAACTTCTCCAGAATAAACAAGATCAATGAATCTCCAAGCAGCCTTACTTTGGAACCAGTCATAGAAGAAAGTTGAAATCTGATCCAGTTACAAGTCGGACCAGCCTAATCGTGCCAGGAAAAGGTAGAATATGACTAGCCACCACGACTAGTATCGACACAAACTAGCTGGACTAGCTGAACAAGGCCACTCTAATAATTCAAAAAATTTGTTCAAGGAGTAAAAAGAAACTGAATGTTCCAGAAAGGAAAAAAAAAAAATTTTTCCTATAGAAAGACGAAAAGGAGAATAATTAGACCGGGCCAATTCTCCTGCCAAGCCAATTTCCCTACTCAGCCAATTCCAAGAATCTCAACCACGAGTTACAAGTCCAATCCGTATCTATTGGCTTTTGAAGGGGTGTGGATCAGGTTCCTTTGCCAATTTTCATTGGTTTGAACAGCTTGAGATTGGTTTACCCAGTCCAAGTCCAACTCCAAGTGGGAGGCTAATTCATATGTCCACACTTTACCAAAGGAGGGTGCAGCCATCCCGGGCCCCCACCAAATCTTATCAGTCTTTGGTTTTAGCATCTTGCTCTGGTTTATTAGCATCTCTACACCATCTCTACACCTCTTTTTGAACTTGTCCTCCTTAATTACCGCAACTTCTGATCTCCTAAACTACTTCCCTCACCCCACCAAAAACAAAAAGACAACCCCCCCCTCTTCCAAACCTTTTATGCCTTTCTTACCTTCGCTCTCTATGCCCGTGTCTTCCTTCCTCCCCATTCTTCCTTTATCTTTTGCTTTTCTCTATATCTTTTGCAGGAACAGCCTTTTCATGGCTGGGTTTTTGGAGACATTTTGCCTCTCTGAGCACCCCTCCCTCTACCTCCACCACAGCGGTTGAGAACCCGTCTTGGTGGTGGCCTCCACCCACTTTTGACACGCACTAGTCATATGGGTGCATTCTCTCCTCTCTTTCTTAGCTTTTATATTTTGCATAGAACACCCACGCATGTTGGTTGCCTTCTCTACTCTAGATCTCTAACACTTCTCTCCCTAGTTTAATCTCTTTTCTTGCATCTTTCTTTCACCCTTCATCTCATCTCCCTTCTATCAAATTCTCGTTGTCCCTCTCCACCTATACATACTAGCTCGAGTGGCTAAGCACCCCAACTTGTGGGTTGCTTCCACTTTGACACGCGCGCTTGTCACAAGGGTGTGCTCTCTCCAATCCCTTTATTTTTAACTTTTTTAGCTTTTAATATTTTGTATAGAGCACCCAATCATGTCAGTTGCCCTCTATCCTCTCTCTTACTCTTTCTCACTCCTCTACTCTTAATCTCTTCTCCCAATTCTCTCTCACCCTCACCTCATCTCTCCTCTGTCGAATTCTTGCTTTTCCATCCTCTCCCTCCATTAATCTCTCTCCCCACATCATTTTTTACTTGCATCTCAGCTCTCATCTTTCTTTTTCTCTCTACTCCTATTTATCTCCCTTATCACCCATTAATTCCAGCTTGAGTGGCCAAGCCCTTGACATATGGGTAGCCAAATATCCCTTTTTTATGGGTGTGGTTTGTATAAGGTTGCAACGTTAAACAATCAAATTAAGGCGCACCTTCAAATTTTATCATAAATATAAGTTTGTGTCAAAAATTCTTAGGATGGCTTGGGAATCTATTTCATCTCTAATTATAAAATCTTAGACTCCAAAAATGATTCAAATCAAGTAGATATATAAATACTTGAAAATCGGGAAAATGGATGGTCCAGATAATGTGTTACAAGATACACTATTTTTAGGACTCAAAATCTTTTTTTCTTTTCATATTCATACCTCTCGATGTCGAGATGACCAGTTTCAGGGTTTTCCAACATCAAAACAACATTTTAAGATGGATTTTTGAGGTGCACCTTAATTCTACATTTTAAGGTTGCAACCTTATATAAACTTTTCCCCTTTATTCTTTTTGTTTGTATCAAATAATTATTTGTATAAGAGCACCCAAATTTGTATTCTTTTTCTTATATTTGAGTACTCATATTTTCTTCAAATTCCTGGTTTCAGTGGGAATTCATGGCTCTATGGGTTTTACAGCAAGGTATGACATGTCCTGATAGTGGACTCTTGGATAGAACTCGATCAGCAACTCTATAAGATTTAGATTTAGAGTGGGCTGGCTGACGATACTAGAACATGCTGGGACTTAAACCTTGACTTTGTTGTCGAAGGCCGAGGCTTATAGAGTCAGATTTGCACTATTGGACTGGTTTGGGTTTAAATCCCGAGATGCATCTGCTGAATTAGGTTCATGGGTACCCTGTCGAGGCTAGTTGCCAGTCGGTGGATGTATAGTGGCCTATGTAATGAATGGGGCTCGTAAGGACAAGAGGTGTAACCTCAACAATTTCATTCTTCACAAAACACACACGTGATTTCCACATGACCTGGTATTGATCAGAATCCTAGACGTGGGATGACGTGTGCATATGCCAGAAAGAGAATTTTATCTACCTATAAGTAGGGGAAATTGATCACCAGAATTTATTGGCTAGATATGACTTGTCCTTGAACAGCACACCTGCAATCCCAGGTGAGCTTATAACCATGTATGCTTTATTAGCTAGCTTTGATGAGCCATTCATGAGATTGTTGCATGAGAGTACTTGTGGGTCATTGGTCTATTGGGTTGGTTTGAGGGGTAGGTCGTGATGAGTGTTAACTAGAAGTGCCTAGTGGAAAAGGAATTTTTCTTCCCAAGGCATGCTCAATCTTCCAATGAGATCTTTCCTAGGTTTCACAGAAAGGAAAATACAGTCAATCACCTTGGTACTATGTTATGCTAAATTAGAAACAAGACTTTTATGGAAGTATGAAATAGCTTTTTACAGAAAGGACTTTTCTGAAAATAAAAATTTGTTATATCTAGTTTTAGCATTTAGCAATTAAGTGGGGGCAATACAGCAAATATGTGACACGTGGGCCATGTTGGCCACATATGGGCAAAGGGGGCCAAAATAGATCACGTGGGGGCCCCCCTTGGTACTTGAACTCCTAAATCAAATAAGGAGATCAAATCCAAATAAAACAAACTTTGGATTATGTTGAATTCTAAATGCTCTAGGAGGTTATGACAAAATCTTCTAGAAGATTTGATTTATAAAAAAATTCTCAAAGATAAGGACAAGGTCTAATTGGATTAGGATTCCTATAATTCTTGATCTTCTGGGAAGTTTCTATCATTTCCAAATTGGAAGGTTGTTCGAAAGATTACTATTGGGGATTAGGGTGTGATTACAACCCTTACAACACGATGGTCGATCTAAGATTGGAGGTTAGGGTTTACTCTCTCTCGTCCCTCAGGTTTTCCTTATCTAAAAGAAGGCAAACACTATAACCCTAGAACAAATCTATATAAACGCCTCATCTCTTCCCGTTATACTCAATGTGTGTCCTTAACGACTGGGAAGAGAGAGAGAGAGAGCTGTTTGGAAACCTAGGGTGGTTTTAAGAGAGACAAAAGTGAGGAAATTTTGTGGGGTGCCTAGAAAGCTAGTGAGATTTCCACATGAGAGCTTGTGTTCAAGAAAGAGGTGAGAAAACCCTTGTTCTCATCAAGCCCTAAGCTTCAATCCGCATTTTTGTCATCCAAATTTTTCCTGTGGAAAGGTCTTTTGCCTTCTAGGTACCCTATCGGTCGAGGGACACAAAAGGGGGTGTAAGAAGTCATTAGGGGGTGATCTTAGGCAAAGAAACTAGTTTGTTGTTTTCTCTACATATTTCAGTTGTCTCCACGCCCCTGCTCTTCACGTGTCAGCAACGTTCTTCAGTTATGCCTATTTTAATTGATTTCAAGTCTACTTTCTCCCTGTAAAGTTTCAGCAAAGGCCCATGTATATAGTGGGAGTTAGACATTTTATCAGAAGGTGTACGTTCTGTTTTCTGCTGTAAAGCACTGAAAAGTTTTTAGAGTTACATCGTGTACTCCCTACACTGAAGCACTTCACAAGTCAACAGATCATCAATCATAAGGCGGATAGGGAAACTACCTTAATTTTTCTTATGGTCCATATATTTTCTCACAATGATATTTCCTACCCATGTGCTATGCATTGTTGCAGTAGATAAGATGTTTCGCGATAGCTATGGTAGCTATGTTGTCACAATGGATAACTATTGGAATCTTTTCAAACAATGTAATTCAACAAATAAAACACGTAATTGGTTGCCTTGTAAAATAGCTATATACTTTGCTTCCATAATAGAAAGTAACATACAATCTTTATCACATTTCCCCATGATATCTGTGCTCCTCTATAGGTGAAAATCCACCCTGATATCAATCTAACCTCATCTTTCCTAACTCCCCAGTTTGCTTCACTGAAGTATTAAATTTCTAACTTTGCATCACTGTAACACAAGCCATAATCACTGGTATTTCTATGGTATCTAAAAATCCTTTTTAAGGAGCTTCTATGCTCCATGAAAGGATCACTCATGCCATGACTGGCAACCACCACTACAAAAACAAAGTTAGAACATACA